TTGGAGGTCAGCCTGGTCTACAAAGCAAGTTCCAGGCCAGCCAGGGCTATATAGTAAGAACTTGTCTCATAAATACAACAATCAAAAACAATTCTAGATTATTTTTCTTCAGAAGATTAGTACCAATAATTATAAAAATCATCTTCAAAAATATGTATTTTCTTGTTTTATTATTCAAAGCATAAAATGGAATCACAGAGTCTTATAGTAACATATGGTTGGTTCTATAAGAAATCATCAAGTTGTTTTTCTAAGTGGCTTCACCATTTTGTATTCCCACTGCAGTTCATGGGAGTTCCCGTTGTTCTGTGCTAGCCAACACTTGGTATTGCCAGTAGTTTTTATCGGCCACTTTCTTGACAGCTGTTGGTGTTAAGCTGATTTGCTTCCCATGAATTTCTCTTCGGTGAACTGTTTGTCCAAGCATTTTGTTCAGTTTTTAACCAATTGGATTTCCTTCTGTTGAGTTTCAAGTTTTGCTTTAAAACAAACAAACATATTTTTGGTTTAAGTCTTTTGTGCCATGTATGATTTGCAAATATTTTCTCCCCATCTGGAGCTTGCTGTGCATACTTTTAGCAGTGTTTCATGCAAACACGTTTGAGTTTTGATGGGGTCTGGTTTCCATAATTCCTTGATGAGTCAGATTTTGGTGTCAGGTCTACGAATCCCTCGTCTACCCTGACCTGCCCCACCCGCCAGTAAGAAGACTGTCTCTTATCCTTTTGTATAAGATGAGGATTTGGACTGAAGTTTATTTTTCAGCAACCAGTTGTTCCAATACTGAGAAAGATTGTTCTTTCTGTTGTCTTGTCTTTGCTCGCTGGTCAAAATGCAGCTGGACATATTTGTGAGAGTGTATCACTGGATGCAATCCTGCTCCACGGGTCTCCTCTGAGACCAACCTTGCTTGATAACCTCAGCTATTTAGTAAATCTGAAAAGCCAAACCCTGTGGGACTGGAGAGATGGCTCAGCAGTAAAGAGCACTGGCTACTCTTGTAGAAGACCTGGGTTCAAATTCCAGCATCCAAATGGTGACTAACAACCATCCATAACTCCAGTTCCAGGGGATCCGACACCCTCTCTGACCTCTGCAGGCATTGTATGACATGGGTACACTTACATACGTGCATGCAATACACTCATACACATAAAGTAAAAATAATAATTTTTTAAGTCAAACCCTGTGATTGATGTAACTTTTCTCTTTTTCACAGTTGTTTGATTATTTTGATTCCTCTGCATTTCCTATAGTTTCAGGATCAGTTTGTTGATACATAATCAAAATCCTACTGGCAGTTATGCTAAATATGGAGATGAACGTGGGGAGATTGACACCCTACTGTTTGAGTCTTCCAATCCATGAACATAGTTTGTCCGTCCAACTAAATCTTCTCCGATCTTTTCCAGTTTCTAGCGTAAAGATTCTCTACATGGAGTTGTTGTGTTTTGTTTTAGAGGTGTTAAAGGTTGAACCCAGGACCTTATGCCTGCTGAGCAAGTGCTCTACTGCTGAGCTATATCACAAGCCAAGGCACTATACCTGTTTTGTCAGATTTATACCTGATCTTTTGTGCCATTGGATATGGTAGCATTTTTAAATATGTGGTTGCTTAAATGTTCTTTGAGTAAAAAATTCCACAAGTATAACACAATACAAATATGACTACATTACTACATCGAATTACCTGTGAAACTGACACTGTGGAGTCAAAGCCCAAGTCAGCATCCTAGCTCAGTCCCTCCTCAATGCATATGAGGCAAAATTTGCATGACCCTTAGCTGTAGGCAGGTTCATGCCTTCGAAAACTCTGTGCAAGTTTAAGCATCCTTCCAGGTTAATCCAGTTGCAGGATGAGGGACTTGCAGCCTTTTTTGATTTGAAACCCAGCACACAGCACGGGAGCATGGTAGATAAAGGCTAAGGAGGAGCAGCTAGGCCTGAACTGTTTCAGGCCCATACGATTTGTCTAAGAGTAATATTACCTGGTGCCCACATTAAGCACTTAGACATTCCTCTCCAAATGTTTGAATTACTGGCTCAGTTGCTTAGTTTCAACCCTTTATCACATTCATTCTCTCATCACAGAAGGATGCGCAAAGCTGGTGAGTGGTGAGTGAATGAAAGTGGCCAATGAATTCAGCAAGGTTTTGGATAGGAGGTGAGATCTTATTGAGAACCTGACACACAGGTGCCGGCAGCATGTTGAGGGGGGAAGCTGGACTAGGAGGAATGGGGTATCTGCAGCTCCTTCCTGGCTGACATCTTCAAGTCCAAACCCTACAGTGCCAGCCCCTCAGGATGCCACGCAAGCTATGCCACTTCCCCAGTTCCTCTATGGTGGACATCAGTGATGGGGAAGTAAACAGAGACACCAGGCTTGGCTGAGAGCAAGTACATCCTCTGGCAAGGTCAGGTCAGTGTAAATCCTCCTCCCAGCCCCAGACAGGCTTATAGTCTGGTGGGTTCAAGGATGGGTAAGAAGCAAGAAGCATTAAACAGGAACATAGTCAAGTAGTAATATGCGGTTCCAAGTACTGAGATCCAGGGGGCAAAATGGGATTATTTTTCATCCATTGATTTATCTCAAAACTCTCAGTGTGACTCATGTTTTGCCTCTGCTATATCTACAGCATCAACCTCACCTGGCCCTGGCCTTTGCTAAGGGGTAGATGAAGCCAGTGGGGGTATCACAGATGAGAAGCTGCACCCTCTATTCCTGTGGTACACACAGGCAGCAGGGTGGATCAGACAGCACACAGGTACACAGAACCGAGGCAGGTTATGAACAAGTGCCACAGAGCTCAGACAGCTAGAGTAACCCCACACAAACTGGAGCAAGTGCCACAAAGGGGAGACTTTTGTTCTGGGCCTTGAGGAAGGGCCAGAGTGAACCGTTGCCAAGAGTCTAAGTGGTCCATCTGAGCAGAAGATGGCATGGAGGTGAGCACTGAACACCTGCTCGGTGGATGGCAGGGGACATGTGTGGGAGTCAGACCCCTCACAACAGCTAAGGCAAAATGAAGGGTCATTCTGAAGCGCTGCTCGGGGGTGTCATTCTGTATCCTTGTGGGGCCACTGGACATTCGTGAAGGGAAGAGGTGTGGCCCTTAAGAATGCTTCAGAATATGAGTTGACTGCTCAGAGTGGGAAGAATGGGAGAGGGGAGGAAAGAAGAGAAGCCAGCTAGGAAGCTGCAGCTGGAGTTGGACTGGGAGTACAGGTCTCAGAGCTTGGCCTTGAAGAGTGAACAAGTCTGGGATATGGCCACAGGGAAGCAGTAAGTTTTGGTTTCTGTGCCAATAGAAGGAGGGGAGGATGACGGCAAGAACTATTTCAAAGATCTACCAATTGAGCGAACAGGGGAAGTGAGTGGGTAGGATCGAGGTGGTTGGGAGGGATCAGACCTTGATATATGACGATCTTCTAATTGAGTGAACAGAGGGAGTGGGTAGGTAGGGTAGAGGTGACTGGGAGGGATCAAACTTTGATATAGGAAGACCTAAGTCTGGGAGCAGTCATTAACAAGTATAATAAGTATTCTGTCTGAGGCTATATTGGAGAATACAAGACAGACGTCTGTCCAGGCCCTCAGGGTGTATACACACAGGGTGAGGCTATGTAAGCCATTTGGTTAATAACAGTGATGATCATAATACAACCTACCCCAAGAAATCTAAGCAAATAGCATCCTTTGTAGTCCTAGCATGTCGTTATCACCCACTGAGTCATATACAGCCTCATAAACTCCAAAGAAGTAGCCTTGGCTTTCTGGTAGCACACTCCTCAGTAATAGGGATCCAGTAATAGGGAACCCCACACAGTGGTGATGGCAGGGGGTGGAGGTGAGGCACTTAGTCGTCACTTAGTCAATTTCTACTTGCTTTGCTCTCTTCGTCTTCCCCACAAGGGACTGTGATTGGGGTGTAGCTCAGGAATGCGAACGCCTTCCGCATCTTATGTCTCGGGCACCCTGCATGTCACATTGATAGTGCCAGCTCACATTGCAGCTGTGACCTCTGCAGGCAGGCCACACCACCTGCCCAGGCAGTTGTTCTGGACCCCAGATCATTCTTGCTGTTAGTCTTGCTACCAGTGGACTGAGGTTCCTCTAGGCACAATGGTGATGTCCAAGGGTGTACAGAGGGAGAAATGGAGAAAGTCATTGTGCACTGTCCTCCCAAACTCCCTGTCTGTTGCTTTTCTGAGAACTGTCGTGTTGTGAAGTCTCTGATCACCGGCTTCTTTTTCAAGGAAACTCAATTGGGAATGGTTGTCTTCCTGTGACACTGTGCGTGCTTCCTGTTGTACTCAGGTGCTGGGTGACAACCAGGCAGAAGGTCCCAGGCCAGAGCAGCTTTGTATGGACCTTCCCTCTCAGCTTTGAGCTTTCATTCACTCTCCCCAGGCTTGCCAGTGAGTCTTGAGGGCCATATTTACTGACCTAGAACCTTCTGGTTCTTTCTGTGGATTTTTAATCCACAAACCAGCTGGACACTGATGCTGCTCTTTACTTCCATCTTACTCAAGATGAGGAAATGGCAGCCCCACATCAGACGTAGGACTTGGGTGACACAAGACACAGACGCTCCGAAGCTATCGAGTGGATCTGTCCTTTGTTCTTGGAGTTGTTTCCTATAATCCCTGAGCTCTTCGTCCAAGTCAAAAGCCCACCGTGCCTCACTAGCTTCCTTCTCAAAGGATTTAGTTGTCCTAGGCTGTCTTAGATCCGTCACCTTTAGATCACCCCCACTGCCTCTGTCAGTGATGGCTTCAGGAGAGCCAGTTACTGAGTGAGAAATAGAGGCAGCTACCTGGCAAGCTGTGGTCATACGACTGAGGGTCCTCCACCAAGCCCCACACCTACCTCAGGTGTTTGGTAACATACCAGCAGCTTTCAAGTCAGCAGGATGCACTAAGTAGAGGGCCACCTTCCCCAGAAGGACAGACTCAGCTGACTATGTTCTACTCATTCTGACTCCGTACCTCTCTTTCAGGATTCACACACAAGAACTACCCACTATGGCTCACTGCCCCAGAAGTCACAGCGGGCCCAAGATGAAAACCCTGTAGTCCACTTCTTTAAGAACATCGTAAGTGACAGTGCACAGGGGAACCTAGAATTATTGAGGGGAGGCTTCTTAGCTTGCCCATGGCTGCCTAGGATCCTTCTCAGAGTACAGGTGGCCCTAGGGACTCCATCCTCAGGGGGAACTTGAGCAGGAACTTGACCACAGGATCCCAAGTTCCAAAAGGCACACTTAGCTGCATCTATCACATAATGACAAAAACTAACAAAAACTTGGTTCTCCTGAAACCAGATGCCTGGCTGATGCTTAGTTTAAAACACCAGCTTTATAACCTCAAGGGCATAGTGATGGGGGAGGTATTGCCCAGATCAGAGGGAGCAAGTGGTGAGGAGAGGAGTACTGGGTGTTTTTAGGACAGCAAAACTGGTCTGTGTGATATTGTGATATAGGACATAAAACATTTGTCTATATACATAGTATATAGACAGCAAAGAGAGTGGGTCCTGATGTAGCCAGCTAATAATAATAATAATAATAATAATAATAATAATGATGCTTCAGTAGTTTTTCACTAGTTTATAACAAGTGAATCACATCAATACAAGTATTACAAGAGCTGAAACTAAACAGATGTTGGGGAACACTCTACAGGTGTAAGGGAAATGTTTGATTTCTGCACAGTTTTTGTATAAATCTAAAACTCCTCTACAAAACAAAGTTTATTAAGAACAGGAGGAACAAAGCAAGCATGTAACAATGAGACCTCAGTGCAGAATCTGCCAGGTGAGTTAGGAACCCCAGACCTGAAGTAGAGTATCCCTTTGAAGGTGAACATCAGAGAGCATGCTACTTCCTGCCCCAGGAAGGGCAGGTGTAGAGGCACATGTTGGCCTCTAATGCCTAATAGATAGGAGTTACTCTCTGTAGACATGAGCTGGTGGGCACCCTCTGGGAAAGTGCAGGGGAGAGGGAGGGAAATTGAGCCCCCCCCCTCCTACATACCACTCTTTTTTGTCTTCCCAGGTGACACCTCGCACACCACCTCCATCTCAAGGAAAGGTAAGACCCATCATCACTTCATTCATATGCCATCCCAAAATGTGCCAAAAAGGGAGCTGAGCTCAGGGCTACCACCCTAATCTTTCTCCAGAAAGAGGATGTGGCAGGTGCCCGCTTCCAGCTATGCCGTCAGGGCCAGTGGATCCAGGCACTGTTCCCCTGAGCCAGGATTCACATCCTGGCCTCAGATCTCCAAGTGGCCCTTTCGGTCCTCAGCTCTGAGGTGTCTACAGGAGCCTGCTCCCCTTGGAAGGGCCACACCATTTTGATTATTCCTGTTGATTGCAGGACTTTGTCCTGGCTGAGCACCCTGTCACTGATTCTTTCTCTTCCTCACACAGGGGAGAGGCCTGTCCCTCAGCAGATTTAGCTGGGTAGGTGACTACTGTTTCCTCCAACTCCCCCTCCTCTCTAAGCCTGCACAGCCCCTTGACTTTTAAGTTCCGCTCTCTTTCAGTTGCTTAACGCCCACCACCTTTTCTTTCCTACCCAGACCTGCTTGCCTACCACAGCTGACAGGCTGCTTTCTGTTCCAGGGCAGGAATAAAACCTTTAGCATGGATTGTTGCCAGGCATCACAAGGCCCCTTGCCTCCTCCCTACAGAGGCTCTGAGCTCCTTCCCAGGGAATGGCCGTACCACGCTGGAGAAAAGTCCCTAATTCCTTCCCAGTGCCACTGGTGGGGAAGTCCCAGAAGGCCAAATACAGAACTGGGGCTGGCCACCCACCTAAAATAGTACTACTGATCAAAAGAAGAAAATGCTAAATTCAGTTGTTCTGTTTCTAGTAACCACTCCTCCATTAATCCAAAGGATTTGGGCTTTGTTTGTGTTTTAGTAGTGACTAACCCTGAGCTATTAAACTACCAGGAAAACTTTCTTAGGGATTCTAGACTTCTAAATACAAGCACAAAGCTTCAGTGAAGATATCGAGTAATTGAATGGCTTGGTTTCTAAATATTAGCAATTTTGGATATTTAAGCCAATTTAACATACTTTCTATATATCCTAACCATATATATTGACCTCAGCTGCTAGCAGATACTAGACATGGCTTTTACCTTGTAAATGGTTATAATTTTCAGAGTTAAACAGATATACAAACACCACCTGCTGGCCAGGGGATATCTATGTAGTACAAAGCCCATCATCCGTTCCTCCTGCTCAGAAAGAAAAAGACAGGCAGCTGAGCAAGGGGGCACACACTTGAAATCACAGAGGCAGGAAGATGGCAGAAAGATCAAGACCAGCTTATAGAGCAAGGCCAGCCAGGGCTCCATAGTGAAATTCTCAAAAACAAACAAATAAATAAACAAATAAATAAATGAGGGAAGAGCATGGAGGAAGGATCACTTGAAAGAGAGGATTCTGCAAGACTCCTGGGTTATTCTAGCACATTCTCACACTGAACCATGAACCAAGACATTTGCTGCAACATTTTACATAAATGTGTATTGGGCCTATGTTTTTTCACACAGCAAATCTACAAAACAAATAACAATAAGGTAGGAGTCCACATGGACCCCACTCACAGTCCTATTTTTTCTGTAGCAGCACGAGACAAAGATGATATTGAAGACCGACATCCATTTTGACCCAGAATTCTTGTTTTAGTTGCTACTTTATCTGTCTTACTTTTCCAGGCATAGGCTGTTGGACTATTATGCAGAGCCTTCATTGTGTGGAGTGGTGGGAGGAGGAAATCTTGTGGGAGGAGGAAACCTCCCCACCAGTGAACAGGAGCGCTCCTGGCATCTCTTTCTGAGCTCTCCAGTCTGGGTCTTGCAAGGGCTTCTTAGGTCTCTCTTTGTCCAAAGCTTGCTCCTCCAGGTTTGCCCATCTGCTGTCCAGAGCTGCAGGATGGTCTTCTTGTCTGGAGTTTCAAAAATTCCCACTTGCTTTTCTCTAAACTCTGTTGTGTGATTTGAAAGCCCATCCCTGAATTCATGCCTCAGCAACTCTTGATTCTGGGAAAAAAGCCATATCCTAGGACAAAGGACCCAGCATTTTCCCAGGGAAGCCTGTGTTTTTTCCCTTGAGCTGCCTGTGTGTTTGTTGTCTTCCCAACTGCCAGCTTCCAGTGAAACTTAAACCAACCAGGTGCCTAGAAGGGCCTAGAATCTTCTAGATCCCAATTTCAGAATATCTAAGATGAAGTGTAGCTTGACTGCATCTCAAAGTCTTTCTTGCCCAAGGCACTTCTGTGATATCAGCAAGACTGGTGTGCCAAGGATGCTGGGAGTAGATCAGGAGACAGATAGTTCTAGTGCTGGGATCTTTAGCGACAACTGGCTTTCTTGAGCCCTGTCCTTGGAGCAGAGTTCTGCAAAGCAGACAGCTCCTTTCTGGTCAGGTACCTAAACCATGCACCCAAACTAGGTGAAGATCTTACCCAGAACATTGGTGCCATCCACTCAGGCTTACCAAGGGAATTCTCATTAAGAATAAGTCAATGCTGGGCTCCAAGAGTCTTACACTTCAGTCCTCACTGTCCATCACTACATCCCACAGGGTGTGACCATCTCAACTCAGAGTGAGAGGGGCTATGGGTGGATGGAGGTAGGGAGGGGTGTCTATTATCCCTGGTAGCCACCTCTATATGGGCATAAGTGTAAAGGTGGAACACCCACAGCTCTGCATACCCTAGGCAGGAAGAACCTCATCCCCAGTATGTGGATGAGGAAACCAAAGCTCAGAGAGCTTTCCACACCAAGGTCACCCACCCAACTAGGAAGTGGGAGGAGTTGAGGCCCCACCATTGTTGTTACTAGGTACAGCTTGCCTCTTGCAAGCAGCAAGCAGCCCATAGCACCAGACAGGGACCTGAGTCTAGGTCACACCATGGCTACCCTTGGGAGAGGCTCCCCTGGACCAGAGCTTGGGAATCTGTTTTGTACCTTAGGAAAGGGAGATCTCAACGTCCAGAGACTCCTGCTCTTCCCAGGCCCTAGGGGCAGCAGAGCAGGTGTGAGCAAAATCCAAGCTGAGTGAAAGAACTCTGAGGGATGCTGAGGGCTGGGCACAGCACTGTTCTGGCTCAGGGTCCACTCCCACTCCCAGCCCTCCCTGGGCCATGCACTCCATTAGGAGTTTCCTGGGCTTGTGGAGGATGATCGTGATGAGGTTTGGGAGACACTTGCTGTCTTCACATGAAGATGCCCTAACATGGAACCCAGGGACTGCCTGTGCACTTAGGCCTCAGACCACACAGCACCAGCCAAAGCCCTTTGTTCTACAGGGAGCCCCCTGATCCATTTGGGGACAGGCACCTCTGCAGCCCCTCCCCATCAGAGCTCTGTGCTGCTCTGGCTCCTGAATGACTCACCGATGCCACCTGGTGGCTCATGTCCTCCTGGGTAGGCCCGGTGGCAGCTGGGAGCAGACACTGAGCTCTGGTCTTTTCTTTCAGGGGGCCGAGGGGCAGAAGCCAGGATTTGGCTACGGAGGCAGAGCTTCCGACTATAAATCGGCTCACAAGGGATTCAAGGGGGCCCACGACGCCCAGGGCACGCTTTCCAAAATCTTTAAGCTGGTAACGTAACATTCCTACTGTCGGGAAACACCGGGGCACCTCCGTGGGAGGTGGGAGCCTGGAGCTGCACACTTTTTCTGTATGCCCCACCCCTCCAAGCAAAAATGTGACCCAGAAGTGATGCCGGGGCTCAGAAGTGTGGGCCAAAAGACAAATTCTAGAATCCTCAGCTAAGCTTAGCCAAAGGCTCGGGTCACCTCCCTCCCGTCAGCAGCCACATCCTGGCCTCCTAGCGTTCTATGTGCCCAAGCCCAAAGAGGGACCCGATTGGCCAGTATTACTCTGCCTTCTTCTGGGGTTTCCTAGGAAATTAATGTGGAGCAAGAGGATTTTTAGAATGTTACCACTCTACTATACACAGGCATTCCCTAGGCCTCACTCTGAGCCCAGCATTGAGCCAATCCACTCTCCCTAGAGGTCAATGACAGGTGGGGCCCCTGACCTGGACCCTCAGTCAAGGACCTAGGGGGGCAAGAACTGTGCCTGAGAACAACTTGTGGGAACCTTGAGAGATGTGCAGGACAGGCAGGCTCCCTGGAGTCACTCAAGGGAACCCAGGAAGCCCTGAGAAGAGGGTACCTATCAGCTACACAGATGTTAGAATCACACAGGCCCAGGGATGAATGCCAGGCCCCTGCTTATTAGCTGTGGCCTCAGCTCCTGACCTCTCTAAGACTCAGTTTCCTCATTCATAGTAGGAGGTGTGATGCACTGACTTACCTCACATCCATTGAGAAAGTAAAAGTGGTGGTGAAGGTTAAGGTCCTGGTGGTAGACGTGGAATGTGACTCCATCACAGCCAAACAGTGGCTATTAGGCTGCTCATTGACATTCTAGCCCAGCACAGAAAGCCTCATGGTGTGGTTCTAGAAAAGTTGAGGCTCAGGGTGTGGGACCCTCCTCACAGATCACTTGGAAGTGAAGGCTGGAGCTCAGAGGTGCCTACCTGGCCTCCTTTGCCTTTGGGGTTTCTCCTCAATGAACCCAGAAGGTGAGGTCTGTTTGTGGGGGATATGGACACCCAAGGACAAGCTTTGATTCAGAACCAAGTCCCAAGTTTCCTCTAAGAAAAGATGCCCTCTCAACCACGCCAGGATAGTTAGAGGCCAAGGTGATAAATGTCAGGACAGAGAGGATACTCTAGACTGGGGCTGTCTTCCCAGGAAGAGGTGATCTGGAGACCTCGCTGACAGGATCAAGGCTTCACAGCTTTAAGAAGCCAAGCTAGGCTCAGGCAGTGTTGGGAGCCAGCCCTGGTCATACCTGTCCTGCCCCAGGGCTCAGCCACCCTTAATGGAGCCCTGTGGGAAATCCCATGTTGACAGCCAGAGGGACTCTGTTTCTGCTGGCTTGAGACAGTACTGTAATTCCAGATCAGCGCATGAGCAGAGAATCCTGCCTGACTTCTGCTTGTTTATAGTTCTTTGTTGCCTGTAATGGCTTCAGGAATGCCCAGACTGGGCCCTCCTGGGCTCCCTGATGTGAAAGGTCTGGGTACAAGGAACATCCAGGATCTTGACTGCCTGGAGGTCAGACACTGAGCCTGGGAAAGAGACAACCTGAGGCTGTCATTGTCCCCATAGGTAAAAGTCTCAAGAGGGCCCCAAGTAACCTTTGCCCCTGAGGGGGCCTGTGGGTCCAGATTGGTAGAATGCTGTGGACAGAGCAGGAGCTGCCCATGTGCCCTCGAGCCTGTGATCTCACTAAGAGGTGTTTACACAGTGTTTGTTGTGTGCCAGGTACCCGAAAGAGAGGCATGGACAGAAGCGCCATCCAGCAGGGACTTGTAGTCCAGAAGGGTGTTCAAGGAAGCAATATAAAAATATTCTGTAGAAGAAAGAAGCAGGAATTTCTGTGTGGAGAGTGTTGAAGAGTGATAGCCCCTCCAGAAGGGAGTGATTGGGAAGGACCCCAAGGAGCATGTGGCACTTGGCTAAGACACAAAGGAGGGGAGAAACTGGGTCTGCATACATGGGAACAGGGCCGAAGGCAGGAGAAATAAGTGGAGAAGGCTGGGAGGGTTCTAGAAGGAGATGGCTGCCTTCACAGTGCTGGCTGGAGATAAGAGGGATTCTCTAAAAGGAAAGTCTTGACTTGGCTCCTGATTGAGCACAGGTGTTCCTGTGGCACGTGGGGCCTATGTTCAGAGGTCATGCATTCCTCTCCCAGAGACAAGGGAGAGTGGCAGCTGGGTTGGGAGTTTCTGGGCTGTATGATATGGAAGAGGTCTTGAGGTTTATAAATATCCTTGTCCAGGAATCTGACAACATGGCTGAAAGCTCCAATCTCAAATCCACATTGCAGGGCCTCTAGGCTGGAGGGGAACATAGTGGGACATGTTGATGCTTTTCCAAGCAGCCATCTAAGGTGGTTTCCCATGCTGACTTAAGGCTCTGAGGATCTTCTCATCCTTGAATCCAAGTCAGATACTCATGACAGTCACAGTCACACAATAACCACTGCCTAAGAGGTTTTCCCCCTCGCTTCTTTGTTAGACAGCATCCCACACCACCAATTCACTTACTCCATCTAAGTGAGGTCATCCATCTCTATGCCCGATGTGACAGGAGCCAGTAGCAAACACTACTCACCGTCAAAGTTGTTTTCGTGGCTCTGTGCAGTCGGCTTCCTTTCTGATCCAAAGATGAACAACACAGAACACAGAGGCCTGCAAGTCAGAGCCACCCATTGTGACAGGCAGAAGTAAGCCCCAAGATACCACCTACCATGGCATCACCATACCTCATTCTTTTATCTTTCTTGGTTGAAAGATTAGTGTTCCCATAGGAACACTAATAGGGAGAGGCAGCTAAGGGATGGGATGTGAAGCTGTGCTGGCTCCCAGACTGCAGCATTCACACCCGACTCCTCGTTCCCACAGACTGGCTCAGGTGGTAAACAGTAGATGCCCTCCTGGACTCCTGATCCATCTGGATTGCCTGGGCCTGAGGTTGTTGCCTGGTTGAGGAAAGAGTTCTCATATTTTAGACCTTAGTGTCTTTGTTGCTGATAGAATGGGACACAGCTTCTGTTCTGGGACTATCTCTGAGCCCATGACTGGTAACTTGATCTGAAAGGTTCTGCTGTAGGCGATGTGTCTTGTGACTCCTAAGTAGAGAATCACAACATCAAGGTTTCACAGTTTGTGAATGACTGGTTGGGTCCATATACCATGTGCTCATTGAGGGAGCCCAGGTCTTTGATGCACATGTTCACTAGTTGAGTGTAAGCACTGCTGTCCATGGTCAGGTGCACACAGGACAGACATGGGCCCTCTGTGTCCTCACTGAGCACATAAGTAAGTATCTGCTGAGCCTAAACACTGCAATGTTTTGTGGACTATACACAGCAATGTGCAGTGTGATCCATGTCCCTTGAGGAAAGTCAGTCAGGAAAATCCTCCAACCTGTGATGTAACCAGGAAGTGAATCAGTGGCCACCTGCTTTCTGTCAAGAAAAGCATGAGTAGAAGGTAGATCCCAGAGGGTTCTACCCACTGCACCTGGGTTCTAGAAGGTGGCAGGGAGAGGGTATGAACCAACAGTGCTTCCTTTGACCTCTAAACCCAGGAGGTCACCTGTCCTGAATGACCTCAGTATTAACCTGGACCTGGGCTCCCTGGGCCTTCCATCCAAGATACTGGCAGCTGTCTTTGTAATCACACTCACCCAGGAAGCACAGATCTCTGTATAAGTAATTACCACACTGTAGGCTTAAGGAATGTTAGGCACATTAAGTGAGCCAGGATCAACCAGGTGAGAGAAAGATGGGCTCCTTAGAGCTGTGGCCCTGTTCTGAGGTAATATGTGTGACTGGGTAATTCCTTCAAGATGGTCATGAGGCAAGACTGTCCCCAAAGCTCCATAGAGTAGACCGACTTCACTCAGGCCTGGAAGTTCTTAGTGTTCCAGCAACATGAGCATGTGAGACTCACATTTCTTAAATAGGTTTGATATTTTCCCTGAACTTCTTTTGGTAAACAAAACAGCTTTGTAAATTGTTTTTAATTTCTATATAGGTCAAGGATGCATGACAATTTCCAATGCATGTGGTTGCAATGAAAGCTTACTACATAACCGCTCACAATGTGCCAACAGGTTGCACAGCTGACCCTGCTGATGGGGAAGCCGGAAAGGAGATGAACAGAAAGGGCCTCTGAGATGAGGAGGGCAGGAGGCAGGCTTGCACCGCTCTCTGGCTCTTAACATCACCCTACCCTTGCTGCTTCCTGCTTGTCATTTTTGCACTTTTAGCAGCCAGCTCTGAGAAAGGCTCAGATTTGCCAGTTGGGTGTGGAGAGAACCAGGGGTCTCCCTGTCTTTGGGACCCACATCTTACTTCCAGATACACAAAGGGAGCCTTCAGGTCCTGTAGTGTCCCTGTGAGATCGTGGGGTCTCTCTGGGACAGAGTCCCTGGTCTCAGCAGATTCTGTTTGCTTCATGCTCTCAGATAAAAGTCCAGATCACCCTGGACTTGTGCCAATTACAGGGCCCAGGGCCCAACAAAGGCTTAAATCAAGAAGCACAAGAGACAAAAATTATGACAGAGAAAAACAAGGCAAAGTACCTACCTTGCTGGCTCTAGCCTTCCCTCCGCTTTGCTGGATGGCTGACCTTGAGCAAATGACTCTACTTTTTTAATCTTTGACTCAAACATACAATGAGAGTAAGTGTATACTTGGCGTTGGCTGTGAGTCCACGCCAGACAGAAGGACTTTTGTTCATGGCAGGTGTTCAATGAACTGTGCTAGGAAATAGCACCAATAAACTGACATTAAATTTCAAAAAGGAAGTCAAAATGGCTCCCCCTTCAGTCATCCAAGGCCTGGCAAGATTCTTCCATTTCAGCCCAGGTATATTGTGTTTTCTAGAACAGAGGTTCCAGAACTTTTCCAGAAAATCATCACCCTCTGCAGAGGCAGCCCCATGTAGTGAAAGCCTGGGCAACGCTGATCCCCCTTGCCCGTGTCTGCGATGACTGAGGGAGCACTTTCGAGGGGAATGACTTTACTCCTCGGGTGGCTGTGTATCTGGAGTTCCATCGGTGTTCCCACTGCTGAAAGTCAGTCCCCTGAAGAGGTTACTGCAGCACCCTCCTGCAGTGCAGCTTCGGTGCTCAGAGAGACACCCAGGGGCCGCGCCCTCCTCCTGAGCCACTGGCTTGCTGTATGAATGCTTCCAGGCTGGCACCTTAGCATGCGGGTCTGTGCCTAACTGAGCATGGCAGGCTCTTGTGAGCCCGACTGAACTAGTGTGCTGCCCTGCTGGGAACGGCATCCGCCTTCTCTTTCTTGATCTCTGGGCTCACATTCCAAATGAAATCTTCAAAAGAGCAATATTTTATCTATAATATAAGATGGAGAACAGAAGTCAAAGAGAAACTAAAGTTTCAACTAAAAACAAAAACAAAACCAGAAAATACAAACGGGGCTGTTCCTCAGGATCTGTCCAGGTGGTATGAGCCACGTCCAACTTCTCAGTCAAGGCTTTCTGAGTGCTGCCTCCCGGCAGGCTCAGCTCCCTCTCAAGATAATTAGTCACCTTTTGTTTTTAATTTCAAATTTCATGTGCCCAGAAAACACATCAGTTTGGGGTTTCAGGAGCCTTTCTATGCCAGCACGCAAACACCCCTACATGTAGCTAGCTGGCTTGTGTCATGGCAGAGTCGAGGACAGAGAAGCTGAGCCTAGCCAGACTCTTTTCTGGTGCCTGGGGCAGCCCTTAGGGTCATCAACACTCAAGCCAGTCTGGCACACAGGTGTTCCCGAGGAAATAAAACAACATATTCTGAGCAAGACAATAAAGCTATTGCTTTCTCGCTGCAGAGGTAATGCTGTGGGACCCTAGCCACACCCTGCAACCCAAGTTCAAGGGCCCTTACCTTAAGTACTAAATTTCAGCTAGCCCTTGCTGAAGGAGGGTTTGAGAAATGGGATAGGAAGTTCAGCTCCCGTCATGCGGCATCCTTTCTAGACAGGATAGCTTGTGATTGGACAACCACAAAGCCCAGACCACATGGGAAAGCGACATCCCTTGGGTGGCACAGGCTCTCATCTAACCTCTGTCTTTTCCTTTTCCCAGGGAGGAAGAGACAGCCGTTCCGGATCTCCCATGGCCAGACGCTGAAGCCCTCCCTGCTTAGCCTTCCCGAATCCTGCCCTCTGCTTCTTAATATAACTCCCTTAAACTTTAATTCCATCTGCACCAACTAGCTAGTTAGAGCAGACACCTCTAATCCCGTGGAGCTGTGCACATGGTGGGGTGAGGCCCACGGCACCTTGACTGGTTAAAACCACTCATCCCTTTTCATTTGAAGATTGAGTTTCCTCAGGGTCTTCTCAGCCCTACACTGTTCTCCGTGCACCTTGATTGACTCCGGAGGGCCAGGTGCACGGATACCTCTCCAAGTTCACCCCAACTCCATCCTCGGACTTTCTTTTCGCTGTGAGGCACACCCCTCCAGCTTCCGTGGGCATTACGAACAGACAGGCACACTGCCAAGGAGCCAGAGAGTGTGGCGCAGGAGACTGTGTGATTCAGGCTTCCTTTGTTTTCTTCCCCTAAAGAGCTTTATTATTCCTAACAGGATCAGACAGTCTTGGAGTGGCTTATACACCGGGGGCTTATGGTATGTGAGTGCAGGCTGGGCAGCTGTGAGAGTCCAGAGTGGGGTGGTCCTGGGGACACTTCCAGGCCTGCTGCTCCCCACACCCCACCAGCTGATTTCGAGCGTGGCAGAGGGAAGGAAAGGGGCGAATGGGCTGGGCAATGGCCCCAACGGGAAATGGGAACTTCAGAAAATGAGGCACTGGGGATGCCACGTGTGGCCGCTGAATGTCACTGTCTCGCCTCAGTGGCCTCCCAGAGCAGCCGCTATCAAGAACCCTGTTTCCTCTCAGAGCCCAGGGAGAGTCCAAGAACATGATACATCTCAGAGTGGGACTTCAGGAGTTCTCTGGTGGCCTTGCAGTGTCACTCTGGCTACCTCTTCTGTTGGGGTGGCCAGCAGCAGTCTGCCATGGCAGTGCCCACTGGCACACACTAACCTCAGTGAAAAAATAACTATCCCCTTGCCTCCTAGAAAGACTCACCCTCAGCCAATGGCTTAGGAACGTGCCAGTCATTGAGTCGCTAACCTGGCCTGGGCGACACTTCAGGGACCAAGAGCTCTGAGTCCTACCCTTCTAATGTCCATGGACATCGTCCCACCCCTCTAACCTACTGACTCTTGCCTTTTGATTTAGCATGTCTTTTATAGACCTTCCAAAGAGCCCCACACTGGCACCATCGTCCCTTAGAAGGAAGGTGAGGATGATCAAAGTAAGACCAAGATGCAACTTGTTAATCCTGTTCTAATTCCAAGTGTAGCGTGGGTTTTAAGGTAACACCTATTAATATATAGCCTCAACAATGAGAGGGTAAGAGAAAAACAGGGAAGAAAATTCCAGAAATAAACCCTCCAGATTGTTCCACAGGAGCGCTCGCCCTCTGATGCAGCTGAATGACCTTGCTCACAGCTTCATCCAGACAGCATGCGTTTTGGGATGGGACCATAGGAGCACCCACTCTTATTGAATATTGAAATAAAATAATAAACTTGCAGTGATCTTTGCATGGGTTTCTCATTTTGCCCTCTGGCTTGTAGAACCGAGCCCCTGTAAAGCATGGCCATGTCACAGAGCAATGTGGGGGAAATATCTCAAGGGCCATTCATTAATAAGGCAAGTGGAATGAAGGTGATGTGGGGCAGTGATCTCATGACACACAAGGAAAAGATTTTCAGTTACTCCAAGGACAAATTTTCAGTCATCTTGCTAGGGTAATGCCTTTTGCCCAGGTTGGACAAGGGAGCTCATGTCTGTAATCCCAGCACTTGGATGGTGGAGGCAGGATTCCAATGAGTTTGAGGCAAACCTGGGCTATAGAGTAAGCGTGAAGTCAAAGTGAGGTGTCTTTTTTTTTTTTTGTCTTTTTGAGACAGGGTCTCCCTGTAGCCCCAGCTGTCCTGGAACTCACTATGTAGACCAGGCTGGCCTCGAACTCAGAGATCCGCCTGCCTCTGCCTCCCAAGTGCTGGGACTAAAAGCATGTGCCACGATGCCCGGCTATGAGCTGTTGTCTTAGAAACAAAGCAATAAAAAACTAAGGGCTGGAGAGATGGCTCAGTAATTAAGAGCATTTGTTGGTCTTCCAAAGGAACCGGGTTTGGTTCCTAGCACCTACATGACATGATGGTCCACAACTGTCTATAACTACAGTTCCAGGGGATCTGACACCCTCTTCTGGCCTCTGCAGGACCAAACATACACAGGGAGAACATAGAAATGTGCAGGAAAACACTCAAACACATAAAAATAATAAATCTTTAAAATAAAAAAAAAAAGCAGGGGCTGGAGAGATGGCTCAGCAGTTAAGAACACTGGCTCCTCTTGCAGAGGACCCAGCTTCGAGTCCCAGCACTCACATGGTGGCTAACAACCGTCAGTAACTCCAGTTCCAGGGGATCGGATGCCCTCTTCTGACATCCTCTGGCACTGCATGACAAGGTAACCAGGTGTGTTGTTTGCTGCCCTTACAGTAAAGGGGGGCAGGATCCTATATTTCTGCCACCCAATTTGGACAGGAGCCTCCCAGTCTCCTTGGGGATAATGTAATTTGTAACACAGCAAGCCAGCATCTGGGTAACAAGAAATAAAGGACTGCATGCCACATATGAAGCAAGAGGTACCCAAAGATTCATTACCGAATATGGTTATTATTTAAAGGGTAACTCTTTCCTGGCTTTTCTGAGGACTGTGATAGCCAGGCCTGCATGTGGGAGGTGGTTTTGGAACAGGTCACTGACCCAGTGCAGGTGGTAGGTAGTCCTGGCTCCTCGTGACAGAGAGGAGGCAGGTGTGGAGGGAGGAGAGCTAGGGGGAGCTGTGGGTGCTGGCTGGAATTTGGGGTGCCTGCATGGAGCATGGTTCTGCTTAAATGGTGAAAATTGCAAACACGCAGAGGATGTACATGTACACACACGTGCGCGTGCACACACATAAAATTAACTCTTATTTCTAAACACCTGTCTTCTAAGAGCAAGGGCTGAGCCCCGAGCTGGGAAAGAACGATTGATTGTACCAGAAAGAGATGCTTAACAACTGAAGTTACTAGAAGGGCTCCTGCTGCCCAAATATGGGATTATTTGAACACCTCACTAAAGGCAGTCTAAGACTCAGTGGCAAATGGGATGAAGCAAGTGTTCAAAGCTGCATTGAGGATAAGTGAGGGAAAGAGGACATTTTCTTAAAGTGGACCCACCTGTCAGTGCAAGAAAGTATGTGACACCTGGCAACCACTTATCAGTCACCCTACATACCCCTATCTGTGAGCTTTCCAGTCCCTTATATAAAATGACACATCCGAATACATACACACATGCACACCCCACTTCTGTGCATCCTAACTCAGCTCAGGGTTGTTTTACACCACATATACCTGAGTGCTGTGTGAACAGTGGTCACACTGCAATGTTTAGGGAAGAGATGAGATGCTCAGTATAAACACAATTTTTTAAAATCCATTTTTGTCCGTTGATGATGGAATCTGAAGATGTGGAGGCCACGACAAGGTCTATGTGCAGAAAATCTTCTATTGGATCTGAAGCCACTTCAGAAACAAAGGCTGTATACAGATGTCTGGCCACTGCACACCCGGTACTATGTAATGATGGCTGATGTTAAAAGAAATGAAGCGTTAAATGCAAGATGTCTCTCCTCTATACAGTTTGGTTGCCAGGGAACCAACAATTGCATGACATAACATAAAAGCCTCTTTTGATCAGCCAAGAATTAAAAAATGGGGACCCATGTCTGAAGGTAGGAGCTGCGAGTGCACAAGACTGTCACCTTTCCTCATGGACTGTCATTGAGTACTCAAAGGTTCTACACTAGATGGTGTGGATTAAGTCAGTCATCAACATTTATGGATTGAGCCAGGTATCTCCAGGTCCCACTGGTTACCTTCCACATTCAGAAAATACCCTATGGCAGTTTGGGCTCCACCCAATCCCCTCTACCCAAGAAAGCCAGGAGATCCCCCTATGCCTGAGATGGGACAGTCAGAGGATGGATGCCCCACCCCAATTTCCACAAGGCAAGAGTGGGCCGGGGATGCCGCCAACACTGTGCTGTGCTGCCAGAGAAACCTTGTCAAGAGGAGCCCTAGTTGTTCCAAAGTTCTCCCTCCTGGCCAGGAAACCAGTTTCTTGGACTGCCTCTGTCCTCCAGGGGTAGACCTACCCTGCCTGGAGACGGTCGTCCAGAGCCAGGCTTGTAGTGCTTTCCACCCAGAATGGCAGCCATGGAGCTGCTGTGAAGGCCTCCCATATGGTTGAGGCTACGGAACTATAGCAAGCCTCAAGGCAAGCAGCCTCAGAGTCACAACGGATGAGGGCAGCACCCCCTAGATGCTTTGTTGTTTATGCCTTGTTTAAGCAAGAACACTGGACACTTGGCAGCAGAACCCAACACAGAGTAGGGGCAGATGTGTAATGAATGCAGCCTGCACTCAATGCATTTCAAAACACCAGGATGAGGCCATCCACCAAGGAACAGCCTGAAGGTGGTGAGCCAGTCTCACTGTCCCTCTGCCCTACCTTGCACTTGAGGTCCCTTCAGGTGCTCAACCTGACCCAAACCAGAGGTACAGTGGGCTGAAAAACAGGTATTATTAATTTGTTACTTAAGCAAGGCTGAAAACTACTGGCTTCTAACAGCCTGGAAAAGTGGCAGAATACAATAGACCCGTGTGTGGTTTACTGACGGGTTGGGCAGGCCAGTCCTATAGGAAAGTCCCACATACTACAGATGGCATGAACAGGCTGTGATCACTCAATCCACCTTGTCATTTTTTGGTTTGATTTGGTTTTTTGTGACAGACTCTCACTATGTAGACCATGCTGGCCTGAACGCTCTATGCAGACCAGGCTGCCTGGAACTCACAGAGATCTACCTGCCTCTGCTTCCCAAGTGCTGAGACTAAAGGCTTTAAAATACCCTTCTCAAGGAGGAACTGACTATGCCTAGAAGGGTGCCTGGTAGCCTCACTCTGCTCACACTGCAGGCCCGATGGTACTGCTGCACCAACTTTGTGGGCATAAACACACACCTGGCGTGTGGCTACCACTCACCCCAGGCCCCAAGAAGTCAATATACAGGAGTTTTAAAATATTACAAAAACTATTTTTATTGGTTTTTAAAAGCCAACACAGTGGCTTTTGGCATAACTATCCATTTCTAATACAAAACTGGATTAAATAAATATTGCCCAATGTATAAATAGACCATGAGACAACTCTGAAGATAAAAAGAGAACTCTTCTGTAAATTAAAAAATTAACTTTAAATTTTCTTTAGTGGTGGCTCAAGAACAATCACTGTGGCATTTCAGAACTTGCCAAATATACAAATCTCCATTCAATACAAAAGTCTTCATGCCGTAATGTGTTACACATAGAAAAGATTAAATCGCAAAATCTTTCGATTACTGCCTATTGCTCCTGACATTTATGCTAACAAATCTTTACTTTTAGTGCCTTAAACATCAGTAATCCATACAAAAAGTGACCACAGCACCTGTGTAGGCAGTGGTGGTAGGGGGTGTGCAACATGGAATATATGCCCACCTGTTCATGAGTGTGTTCATGAGTCAGAAAGGATAAGCAGTGGTTAAACACAAACACTGTACGAGTTCCTCCAAGGGGAACATACAGCCAGGGGCTTGCAACCATCTGGCTTCCCATGAATTCTGCTGCTCCAATTTTTAGCAAAGAAGATGCAACCAGATTTCAAGGTATTTTTCGCTGAAATAAAAGAAACAGGAATCCCAGAGACATAATGCTAAATTGGGTAGGCGCTTTTGAAATTTTGTTTTACATGGTTATTTTTGGAGACAAGGTCTCAGGTAGCCCAAGTTGGCCTCAAACTTGGTAAGCAGCAGAGGCTGACCTTGAACTTCTGAACCTCCTGCCTACATTTCCCAAGTGCTGGGATTACAGGTTTGGACCACCAGAATCCACTGGAAATTTTATTCTAAATAATCCAAAGCACGTGCAATGTGATTATCAAATGAAGAAGGGAGGGGGTGCTCTGGACCTCAAGTGTGGTTGCATCTTCTTTTTCCAACCACACCATGCAGGAGGTTCAGGGGTCAGCAGGCACCAGGCCCTGGGGTCACTCTTGGTGGAAGGGGAGGGCAGAGTATGGATTTTGAAATAAGCATGGGAGATAATCCTTATGCAAGGAGGCATGAGATATCCCTTGATCCTGGAACCAGAAAGTAGACCAATATAGATCTTATATATGTCCTTAAAAATTCTACCTACATAAATCTGTGTGACCATCATCTAATGTTGAAGTGTGAGTCTTAATAAGTGGCTATCCTTCTCAAAAGGGAAGGCCACAGGAAGAACCAAAATCTCTCTCAAATCTGTAATGCACGGATGCGCTCACCTCACTCCTGTTGGTGAGATTTCAGAGGAAGGAACAGAACTCAGATTTCCTTGAAAATGATTCAGAGGAGGGTACAGGAGGGAATGTACTGAAGACCCACTCCCTGGTGAGCACTGCCCACTGCGTTGGCACCTTGCTAGCACAGCTGACAGAATGCGAAGAGATTCCTGAGGTGCCCCTCTGGCCCCTAGGGGGATTTCTTCTTCCTGCTGCTCCACAAGCACCCTGGCACGGCACAGGGGGCTCCAGGAGAGCTTGATGGGTGTGGGAAGCCTCATTCACAGCGTGTGTCCATCTCTATCGACTGGCTTTCTGAATAATTTGTCCATGCTAGCTTCTCCTGCCTCTGCAGCTGTATCCATCTTATGACGAACATCGGGCCTTCATGCTGAGCAATCCCTCTACCAGGAGGCTTCACAAGGAACTTGTTCAACGCAGCAGCTGCTGAGGAGTGCGGTGGAACCCACAAGACTGGGCTAGGCACAGGGTTTACTGTCACGGGCCACATCCGACTGTTAGGTCAAAGTTCTTCAGGTTGACACCCAGAGGATATGTGTTCTCTGGACTTTGCCCAGGTAAAGGAAATACCACAGCAACTTTATTTTCTGCTAAAAATACCTGAATTGAAATGAATTCCCCACCAAACTAGTCTATCTGAAATATGTTTTAAACTTAAAAAAAAACAACAAAACACATTTCCTAACATCATTTTGCATTTAGTTATTTCAAAACAGATATGCTATGGAGAGATAGTTCTAAAAATACAGTTCTCTATCCTCAAAACCCTGGTTATACATGAGGCTAGAAATCACTTTCCTAAAACAATATTTTAATCAAATATTAAGATACAAAGACCAACCTGTAAACCACAAAGATTCAAGTGAGTTATCTTTTTAAAACCTTGTATTTTCAAGGAATGTTTGCAAAGAAGCAGCTTTGATGTAAGTAAATCAAAATACATCAATGTCATATTTGCTTCCTAATAAATTGAGAAAAGACACAATGGATTATTGGTAGTTTTTATAAAAAAAAATAAAATAAAATAAAAGCAGGCTTCAGATTCATTTGAGAAAGAAAGACTTCTTAGGAAGGCAGCTGACCTCCTGCCAGTAGCCTGCACTCATACACAACCAGGAAGTAACCTCTTTATAGATGTCCTGAGATGACATTTAATGCTGAAAGCAAAATAAATAACCCAGTGAGACCAAAATTTTAATTCCAATAATTTCAATTGTGGGGATATTTTTTCACTAAAATTAACATTTCTAAAACACTTTAATACAAAATTATAAAAGAAAAAGTGCATGAATAGCAGAGCCTTTAAAACTCTCGCACGATTACAATTATTCTGAAAACACTTACCACAGCCAGGTTTGCACACTGACATTCAGGGAGCCTCGGAGTTCTTAAGTTCAGTATCACAAAAAGTCAAGTAAGGCTTTTTTCATTTTAAAAAAATATACAATACACAAATCAGTTTGGAAAAAAAGGTAATAATATTTAACAGTTCTCTGACTTAAATATTTTCACAAACAAAAGTTTTCATGTCACTCAATATTACTTATATACAGATGACAAAAATGAACAAAATCAAAAGATGCCCTTTCAAGGTAACAGTGAAATGTCTCTCTTCAGGACTCTGAGATGCGCTCCTCTTGGTGAACAAGTCCATATAATATTTATAGTAAAACTGCTCTCTTCTGAAACCAAGGAGGCAACGAGACAAAATAAAGGCAATTATTTTTTTTCAGAAAAAAAAAAATAGAGCCCAGCTTTATGTCACAGTGAAAAAGATGTCCATTTATTAACAGAGCGAACACGACCCGGTCTGAAGCTCACCAGGAAGTGGCCTCAGACGCGTTCTGATGAGGACCAGTGCTTCTATTTACAAAATATACTTCTCAGCCACACAGAGGCTCATACATCTGCCTATGTACACAGATATTTACATATAGAATATATAAATAGTTTCAAGGGAATCAACACGAAGTGGGGAACCTTCCGTCTTTGGAATGCTGCGGTGCACGCATGCTCAGCACGGGAGGAATTTGGTTCGGGATATGTCTTGTGTGGCACTGCTGATGACACTAAGGAATTCCCTGAAATAAAGACACCACCTCACACAAGGAGAAAGTCGCAGGGATTTGTGAGACCTTAGCCTTAAACTACAGATAAATTTACTGAGGTGGACAGGAACAGCGACTGTCCCTTAGGAGACAACTGGCATTCCTGTTCACAGGGTATGGCTTGTGCTTCTGCAGTGATCTAACCCATGTGCCTGGACAGATTCATGCAGCAAGCATGTGGACATCCGTGTGAGTAGCTGGGCCTCGACTACAGGTCAGATTCCCTCCGTGACTCTGCTGGTGCCAGCTTCTGTGTTCTTCTAGCTAGGGATTAGGTATCTGATGGAGAGAGAAGTGGTCCAGCCATCTCTCAAGGCATTCATTACTCGAACTTAGAGTGGGCTAAAAAGAGTTGATTGCTACTAATTTTTCAAAATGCAGAGTAAAAAGTGGAAAAACATCCTTGTGAATGATGGCACCACTTCTGAACTTCATGCACCTATCATACGTGTTTTTCCATGTTAACTTGTCTTTGGATAACACAAATCACACTGCAATGATATTAAGATCCAGCTCATCTGCTAACGACATACACTGGCCATGAGAAGATGGAACTGACCAGGAGTGCCCAAGCTCAATGATTTGTAGAAAGTGAGAACAGTGTGTTTATACTTTTCCCAGTTCTTTTCTGTAAGTCTCTGAATGACAATGATTCTTTAAATAATTTTAGCTAAAAAACTATTGTGGTAGATTTTCAACACTTGAAGTTTTAAAACAGAAACTCTGAGTGCTCTGATCTTCACAGGTGTAGCTAGCTTCATGAACCCTCTTGGGCCCCCTCTACGGCATCAGAACACGTTAGCGAGGGTCTGCCACTCGCCCGCCGCCTCTTGCACCTCCTCCAGGTGGAGGGTCCTCAGGTCCTCCCCATCCTGCTCCTGGACCACAGTGGCTGCCTGCAAGGTTCCTGCAGCAGCAAAGAGAAAGCAGGCCTCAGATCTTCAGAAGCAGGCCAGCAAACACACTTAAACAAGAATACCTAAGAACTAGAGACTAAAAACGTCTGCCTTTCTTTCCATCTCAGAGAAAAAGGAATTATCTGAGTCAGGTAAACTATTTCTCAATGTGTGGTGCTGGGGACAGAGTCCAAGGCCTCATGCATGCCAGGCAAATGCTGTATTGTCAGCTGCATCCCCAACCCCAGGTAAAAGTCTGATTTGTCGCAGTCACTGTGATGTGGGCACCCATACCATGAGGACTGTGCCAATACAGAATCAGTGATGAGCAACTGTTAATGCCCACACCACAGACAACTTCTCTAACAGCATGCAGGTATTGCTGTGGACAATGACCTTCCCTCCCATAGTACAGAGTTCTATCTGGTGGGCTTCCCAGACACATCTGGAAACAACCCCACTAACAACATGAAGGGTACTTACATTCACTCACTGAACCTACCCTCTCACAACCAAATGGACTCAAAACACACACTTGTAAAACCAACTGCCCACCCGGGCTTGACTCTGATCATTTTACGCCCCTTCTTTGTGTAGCTACTGCTACTGGTGCAACCTGGCCTAGGCTAGTTACTTCCTTAAATAAAAACCCTACTGCTGTGCCACCTTTCCACTGTGCCACAGCAGCAAACAAGGAGGACCTCACACCCTCTAAATCCAATCCTGGTGGCATCAATGTTAGTAGGCCGGAGAGAACACAAGGTCCCTGTGGCCTGGGCTGAGTAGACAGAATGGAGCAAGAGTGCTCAGCATGGAGTCTGCAGATCCCACCTGCCTCTGTGCAGGCTTCAGACTGACACAAGGCAGCCTTTGACCTACACACCGCAGAGAAAGGGCCCTCAGAAAGACTGATTGATAGACAGCCATGTTGTTCTGTTGCTTGGCACTGACCACTTACTATAAAAAGCGCTATCCAAAGCCAGGTGTGGTGGTAAAGGCCTGAAGTGTTTGTACTTGGGAGACTAAAGAAGATTGTTGTTTGGGCCAACCCAAGCTACATAGTAAGGCTTTGTCCTGGGAAAAAGAACAAAGGAGAAAGGAACTGGGGGGGAGAAAAAAAGAAAAGCAGAGGGAAGAAAAGAGGAAGAGGAAAAGGGGAGGGCTTGGAGGAGAAGGGAGGCACAGCACAGGCTTCCAACCCTACTCTGCCTCGACCTGACTTCTCTGTAAACTGCAGTCACACCCAGAAGATACCTAACCACTTCACAGTGTAGGATAGGCTTCTCACCCACAAAGCTGTGTGCCCGCTTCATGTGCAGCTTCATGTTGCTCTTCTGAGAGAAGCCCATGACGCAGTAGTCACAGCGGTAGGGTCGCTCACCCGTGTGCTTCTTCATGTGAACCTGCAGTGCGCTCTTCTGGTTGAAGGCTTTCTCACACAGAGTGCAGTGGAACGGCCGCTCCCCTGCGTGCACAAAGCATGATACAGACAACGTCACTCCCAAGGCTGTAACGTCAGCACAGGGCACATCATCATTCATTCCACACAGTGCAATGCTGAAAAAAAACAACAGTGACGTTCCTTGTGCCACCACCAGAGCACTGACTAGCACTGGCAAAACCACTCCAGGCTGAGGCACAAAATGAAACCTTAATCCAAAAGTACTAAGAGGGATTGGAGAGATGGCTCAGGGGTTAAGAGCACTGGCTGCTCTGCAGAGGACCAGGGTTCAATTCCCAGCACCCATATGGCAGCTAACAACCATCTGTAACTCCAGTTGCAAGGGATCCAATGCCATCTTCTGGCCTCTATAAGCACTGGATACACATGGTACACTTACATGTATGCAGGCAAAACACTCATACACATAAAATAAAAATAAATCAAAAAAAATTTAAGTGTTGAGAGTCACAGAAATAGAACACATATGATTTAAATAAAATGTCTCTAATACATTTTGTGTCATATGGGAAAAAGATAGTTGGACATGAGAATAGCAAATCCACTTACTAAAAATATGATTTTCTATAATCTTTAAAAATGCTATTGTGAGCCGGGTATGGTGGCGCACACCTTTAATCTGAGCACTCAGGAGGCAGAGGCAGGTGGATCTCTGTGAGTTCAAGGCCAGCCTGGTCGACATAGTGAGTTCCAGGCCAGGACTACAGGGAGACCCTGTCTCAAAAAGACAAGAAAAAAAAAAAAAAGCTATTGTGCTAGGCACCTTTAATTCAGCACTCAAGAGACAGAGGCAGGTTGATCTCTGAGTCACTCTGGTCTGCGTAGTGAGTTCCAAGCCAGCCAGAGTTACATAAACTCTGTCTCAAACAAAATAAACTGGAAAAAATTTAAATGCTATTGAAACTTTCAGGTGGACACATAACCGGAAAGAATTGCCAAGCCTGACACATGCTGGGAGCTACCTAGATGAATGCCACCAGATCTCACTATCTCAGCTGGCTGGACATGATTGTCCTGCCTCCTGGGTGCAATCCCCTGCCCACCAAGCTATCTTTGTGCCCCCTGGGTGTGGTGCAGCTTTTCTCCTTTACCTGCAAGTTCTTCCCCATCTCCTCTGCCTGGTGGCCTGCTGCTCTGGTATCAGGGCCCTTCCCTACAAGGCTTCCCAGACTGCTCCTGACAACCAGGGCCCCACACTGCTGCTCTGACCACATGTTCCCCTGGCTCTGTGTTTTCTTCTCTTTAGTGACCATGGCAAGTGCAGCTTTGTTTCTCAGTAGCTTAGGGTAGAATGAAATCTTCTGCCCCAGTCCTGCTGAGTGAATGAGGTAATTTGGGGCTGCAATGATGAAGAGAGGCTGTTTAGCAGCAGCTTCTGTGGGGGAGGAAGGTGGCAGATAGGCCCCAATTAATTGCAAAGCCCCTCAAAGCAGTTTCTCTGGCTGGAAGCAGCTCACACGAATGGAAGCTGTGTTCTGTCAATCTCCTGGAAAAGCTAGAAATGGACTCTTGTCCAGAACACATAAGCAAAGGGCTGGTGCCTGACTCCGCCTGGTGAGACTGAGCAGGGAGCAGTGTAGTCCAGCCCAGCTGCAATGATGATCTATTAGAAGCTGCTGCATCTGCTATGGAATAAAAGACAATTACATAACTCCCACCATGGCACAGTTTAAAATCTTAGCCAGTTTATTAGGACTTAAAATACATTTAAGAAACAACATTCCTGCTGTCACGGATGAGAGCAGCTGTGGGGAGAAGCACTTCCAGTCTAAGACACTGGCCTGACCACAGCAGAGAAGAACAGCAGGGCACAAAGCATGCTGCCTTCATACCCTTCTCAGGGCATGTGCTGAGTGCTCAATCCCCACATTTGAGCCAGTATTTCCACTCAAAAATGAGAACATAATATAGGGTGTATCAACAATAAATGTTAGAGAGTATAAGGCAATGTGCCATCAAGCTGACCAGAGAGTTCAATGGTTTTCTAGCCAAAAAAAAAAAAACCTTAAAATGTAAGCTAGTTACTACTTACCATTTTAACAGCTATAGAAAGTACTGTCAAACATTGTTAACACAGTGCCTCAATTACAGAGGGAAAAGTGGAAAAACTCAGAAACAGACACATTAATTTTCAAAAATCAAATAGAAGCATTTATACATGTATGTGAAGGTGCACATGAGTATGTGCATGTGCATGTATGGTCAGGACACCCTCTGGTGTCATTTTGTATTTTGAGACAGGGTCTCTGACTAGCCTTGAACTTGCCAAATAGGCTAGGCTGGCTGGTCAGTAAGCCTCAGTATCCACCTGCCTCCACCTCCCCAGTGCAGAGATTATGAGCACTCTACTGTGCCAAGATTGGGGAGAGCTTGTTTCTTTGCTTGTTTTTTCCTCTGACAAGAGGCTTGAGCAGATGCAGTGATAAGAAATGTGTTGGGAGCAAAGTCCACAAATAGGCAAGGCTTAGCAAAGCAGGTAGGCCTGGCAGCCTGGAGAGTCATGCTCCAACTTCCTAAACAGAGGGAGGGAAGGAGGCCCTGCCCGCAGAGCCCTTACTTCATCATTCTGAATCTTCCTGGTCACAACGAGAACAGCAAAATCTCAAGTAAAAAAGTGAGTTAAGATGGTGAGTTGATCAAAAGTTAGGGGAAAGTAGAACATGTGGGCCTTGCTCGTAAATAACATCCCATGTGGATATTAGTACATTGAGCTCTTCTTAGCAATAATCATGTACTTCAAAGACTATTAAAGTGAGACTGCATCACTTCTAACTACCTGTATGAATGCGGCTATGCCGTTCCAGCTGGCTTGGTTTGGCAAATGCCTTTTCGCAAGTGTCGCATTTGAATACCCTGGGCTTCTGAGAGCTGAGCGAGGGGCCCGCCTGGTGTGTCAGCATGTGCTCCTGGAAGAACACACAGAAACCAGAGCATGTTAGACCCTAATGGAAACTGAGATCTGAAACAGAAATGGAAAACAAACCATCATGCAAATCTAAGCAGCGGCCAAGGCCAACCTCAAGGCTGACCTCAGACTGCGTTTTCAGGGCCTGTAGCCCATCAGCAGTGACAGCAGGGTGAGGGGCCATGGCTTTGGCAGCTCCATATCCACAAGAGCAGCAGCATCTCCCTCCTCGGGCTGCAATGATGGCTCAGGGAGACTGTGACCCTCACACAGCAACTTCAGTGAGGAGCCCCATGAAGCCTCTCTGTCCCCTCCGGGCCTAAAAGTCCAGGGAGATAGAGATTGTCTCAGCAACTCTCACAAAACACCTGTAGCTCTGGGTAGGTTCTACCAATTACACAACTAATGCTGCATGATGCATCCCCAAGTCTTCTGCCAGCATCAGGTAACTGCAAAAGTATGTGACTCGACCTCTCAGTAATTCTGCACCTGTGTGATCTGGGTTTTCTCAGAGCTATGACAGATGAGCTGTGGGCTCCTGAGGCTGGAACTGAAGCTATTTTCAAAGTTTTACAAGGTGTACAATTATCCTGATAGAGTAGTCTTTATATGACCCTCTGTCCTAAAGCAGGATTCAGAGAGAAATAAATGCTTACAGTGTTTGCACCTACATCACAGAGTCAAGTAGCACGCAACCGTACCCAGATAGCCTACAAGGAACGTCAGGACAGCAGATGAGAAGACTGTCCAAAGCAGCCTAGATGCCAAAGGCCAGGAGGACTTCCAGCCAGGCTTCAGGGCAGGGGACTTCAGCAGTAACTTCACACTCAATGTGCTTATCATCAACACCAGGAGATGACTCTTCCTATTCCACGTGTGTCATACTTATAGCCATGGGAACACTGTGCATTCTGGGGATCTGGAACTACTGACTTCACACACTGCAGACACTTGATGCTTGAAGGGCAGAAGTGGGTAGGACAGGCAACGTGTTGGGAAGGACTCTGTTGTAACTACACATCCCATTTCCAGAGAAGGAAAGTTGTTACATTAGCAGTGTGTACAGTACAGCTGCTACTTGAAGCTGATGGTCTAAAGACCCACCAACGAGCTGCATTCTTCCATCAGACCACATAGGCCTTGCTACATTGGAAATCAGTGGCTCACTTGAACTGGGTGTTCAAGTCGGATGGACCAGCCAGGGTGGCTCTGCTGCTCTGTCACCAGACACTGGCATATCTGCTTTCTGTAGGGAGCTCCTGCATATGTGTTGAGTAAATGAAAGACTGAAACACATGGGAGACAGCTAGATTTCCTTAGAGACTGGGAGACACGGCCCTTGGGAGCACTCCCTGTGAACAGCAGAGTCGGGTAAAGACAACAGTACTCTCACTGTTCACACCACATCCTGAATAGCATACACTTCTGAATTTGTACCAACAGATGACTAAATGGCAAGTCCTTGTCTTCTAGGTTTCGGAAAGGCAAAATCAGGAAGACAGGTCCCAGACTGAAGGTTGTGGGCCACACCTGAAATTGCTTCCCAGGGTTGTTCATTCCTCCCACCATGTCCAAGAACGGCCCCCGAAGGGATGCTTGTCCTTTATCCTCTACCTCTCCCAATAGGTTACTAGATGAAGAACACTACATGTGTGCATCTGGGACGGGGGCGGGGAGAGCTTTTCTGAGGCAACCACACAGTTTTATTGGGTACCTACTATCTTAGGGAACGTCCTGTCACACTGCAGGTGCCAGCAACCATGAGAGTTTGATTCCTCATGGTAAATCCACTTACAGCACTGACTGAAATGTGTCAGTCACCTCTTACTGTTGTTAGAAGCATTGTAGGTACCCATAGCTGTGGGTTGCCTGCTGCCCCCAGGGTGTACCTTGAGGTGTGTAGCACGCTTGAAGGCCTTCCTGCAGACCCGGCAGCCGTGGATACGCTCCTTGCCATGCACCTCTTTGCTGTGGTGCATGAGCACTGCAGCTGATGAGAAGGCACGTTCGCAATCCAGGCACTGGTGTACAGGACTGTCTTTCTCAGGCTGACTGCTGGGGGCCAGCTGGGCAGAGACATCAGTCACCTGGAGAAAGGAGTTCTGGATTACTAGAGGAGTGTGGTCTGCAAACTGCCAGACAAGCAAGAAAATGGCAGCGCTGCCTAACATGGATGCAGCTGGCCACCTCATTGCAGGGGCACCTTTGGCATTCAATGAGGCCAGAAGACATAGCTAAGAATCACTGGGATGCACTGGATAAGAACACTGATTGACAAGGGAGCTTGTGACTGTAGCCTACTAGGTTCGGCCTAGCTTCAGTACTGCCCTTCTGGCCACTGTGAGCTGAGTTCAATGATGAGGAATCATGAAGTCCCACCATCAGGGCTGCTGATGACCAGATGCAGCATATATATATATATAAAGGGTCCTGAGACTACATACACCTGGCACATAGCAAGTATTTTCCATGAACTATGACTAGTATTGGGAGAGGAATGCTGGTTTTTTTGTAAATGAATCAAATGTTGTAGAGACCAATGTTAATACTCTCAAAAAACTTTGTAATGATCTATTTTCAAGATTTCAACCCATCGAACAATTAGGTTGGTTTAGTAACCCCTTGTTTTCATGGCTCGCACCCTTTGTTAGCCCCCTGGTTATGGTGTATGTTATTTTGATGTTTGCTCCCGGTTTCATACAATTTCTTTGCCAACAAATTATTACCATTGCAAAAATTGCTACCAATCAGGTCATGGTCAATTATCAGACTTTGGATTCTCCTGAGATACATGAGTTGGCTCTTAAAGCTTGTGATGACACTTCTCCATTATAAAACAAAACGGGGAGATGTTGGGGGACCCTGATGCTAAGGTTGTAGTCCACCATGTCCGGATAGCTCTAAGGAACTCAGCGCTATATGGAGGACTCCCTTTCTCAGCTGGGGCCTCCTGCTCTCTGCCTTACCTGGAAAGTGCCTCCAAGTACGGATGCCTGACCTTATTTGGAACATGACCTTTTCATAATTACCTGCAATAAAACCACCCCCAGGTTTTTTCTATATGATAATTAGGCACTGCCCTATAGCCAGATGATAGGATCCCCCTACCACATGTAAATAAAGCATATGATGAACACCTATCAGCTGAAGCTTTGGCTGCTGCCTCCACACTATATTTTTCCCTGACCCCCACTGAATAAACAGAGCTGTATCACTGAATCTGACTCCCCAGAATCCGTCTGTGCTCACTGGTCGTCCTGACCCCGTTCATCACTTCTGCTCCCTTTTTCTCGTGGGTCGGAGTCCAATGGCCCACAAGGGGAGGGAGAGACAAACACTTAGCTTTTGTTTCAACTAATTATGGATCCCAATTGATGTATAGGTGTCCAAGTCAATTTCATGGATGCCACTAGCACTTAGAAAAATAGCAAATAGAGCAGGAGACTATAAAAAAAAAACAACAGACTCTAATTTTAGAGATAGGTAATGATTTAACAAAGCCATTATAAAGAAAATTTATGTGACCTGCCAACATCTTTATTTCTGTTTAGCAAATACTTTTTCAAAACACTGGAACATACGGAATTGGGTACGTATTAAAGAAAGATACTACCCCAAAAGGTGCTATTAATTTGTGCTACAATTTAAAAAAAAAAAGCAGAAAAGCTGGCTGTGGTGGCGCACGCCTTTAATCCCAGCACTTGGGAGGCAGAGGCAGGAGGATCTCTGTGAGTTCAAGGCCAGCCTGGTCCACATAGTGAGTTCCAGGACAACTGGGGCTACAGGGAGACCCTGTCTCAAAAAAACCAAAAAAAAAAAAAAAAAAAAAAAATCACAGTGGAAAAAAGTTAAAAGGAACAAAACAGAACAGAAAAGACCAGAAGGAAAAAGACAACGTAAATATGTGGCAAGCCATAGGGAAAATGGTATTTTCTGATCCTTCATGTAAAATAACTGTCAGCATAACCAAGAATAAGCAGACTATGTCCAAAGTTAAGACTTCTGAATCATTGGCTTCTACAGCTAGTGGGGAACAAAATCTCTAATATTCTAGTGATTTTTATAACTGCACACTCAGACACAGACATACACAATCACTCACACACACACACACACACACACACACACACACACACACAACTAGAATGCACTGGCATAGGGAAGAGCATACGGCCAAAGCTAAGGCCAGAGTTCCTCATCACCTTCACAGCTTCCTGCCAAAGGCTTGGGGGCAAGCAGAGCCAGGTAGGCTGACCTCCAGCCTAGAGGCCTCGAGGAAATAACCCTGTGCATTCGCAGAGCACTAGGGCTCCAACACCAATTATACGCCACTGACAGTGGCAGGGCAGTACTGAGAACTCACAGAAAACACCTAAGAGAACACCCTTGCTAACTGATCACTTATGCAAATTAACTACCTACCTCATTTTAGTATTTAACTACCTACCTCCTTTTAAATTTAGGGGGAAAAAGTCACAAGCTAGATCAAGTTTTGGTATTTAGGTCACTACATTACCATCTACTACTCAAACGGAGTAGGGAAACTTCAAACTAATCTTAATATAAGAGTGCTCATGAGGATCAGGGCTATATGAAACTGAATGATGAAGAAAGCCACACACTGAAGAATAGCAAAGCAATTGTGTTTATGAGTCACATTAAACAGGAAGTGGGTAAGATATGCCTTGGTATTGAATTAGGAGCTTAGAAATTCAGATTAGAAAGGTTTCATAGCAGAAGTCAAAGAAGAGAATGAAAAAGTGAAGTGATGGTCAAAAAGTCAGTGCTTTATCTAGCAGCCAATGTGTACAAAACACCCAAGAGCACATATTAAAGAAAAGATTCCTGGGACATAACCTGGAAGCTCTAGGACCATTCTGCCATGTAAGCGTGCACTCTGATATCCAGGTCTTTGGCCATGCCAGGCAGTTGTGCTATCAGTGTTACTTGTGGTGAATGCCTGGTTTTGTTAGCCTAGGGATCTGGGCCTGCCTCTGTTGACCTGGAGGTGGGTACCAAGTGGTGCCAGCCAACCACAGGAGTACTCCATGCCTACCTACCCAACACTTGCAGGTGCTGTTATGTCACTGCTGGGACAATCAGCATTGCTTGGGACACTCCACTGGGGCATACAACTAGACCTGGGTGCTGGACCTGAGTCTCTCCTGCCTTTTCCCTCTGCTATTTCTAATTTGTATCATTCCACTGTGACAACAGGACATTGAGTAACACAATTATACCAGATCCGTATCCTGTGAGTCTTTGCAGTGGGTTCTGGAACCTAAGTGTGGTCTTTGGCGATAGCAGACACAAATGAATTAGTTGCACATACTCAAATGCAGTGTTAGTCACTGAAGCACTGGGGAAATCCCTGGTGTTGCTGACACCTAGTCCCTTCCTGAAAAAATAGAAGTCCCTGTTCTGTCAAAAAACTGGTAACTAATTGAAGGCTTACTTGTTAAGAATGCTCAAACATAAAATTTAGTGCTCTCCAAACTGAGAAGTCACCAGTCATCTGTATTTTAATTCTGACTCAGCAAAGTCTTAGGAAAAAAGTTTGTAGATTCTTCTACATCTAGGCTAACATTTACTTTAAAAAAAAGACTAGTCAAGTTAGAGAAAGGTCTCACCTGTTCACGTACAGGTATACGTACATGAAGAATTATAGGAAGACATAAAAGAATCAGTAAGTAGTCCAGGAAAATATACACAAGGAACTAATAAACACAGTAAAGAGCCATAAGAAGTCTAAGCTGGAGGCAGACAGCAGACACTGGAGCAAGTTAACTTCACATTACTATTTGTGGTACTAAGTCACACCTTCTACTGACCAAGGTATGAGAGCCATCATCCTCCAGGCCCACAAAGTGCTCAGCACCTCTGCTCTGGGTTTGGCAGGGGACTATTCTTCAGAGGCTACCCCATCCCCTGGTCCTAGGAACCAAACCCTGGTCCTCTGCAAGAGACCAGAGCACTGTGCATGACCCTCTTCCACCATTCCTGGATACCCTATCTGAGTAATGTGGGTGCCATTACCTGGTAAGCTATTTCTTCACCAGCAGCAGATGGCGACTGAGGAGTGTGGCTCACTAAAATCACTTGCGGTGAACCTGCTCCACCTTGGCCTGAGAGAGAGGGATCCGTGAGCAACGCCGGGAACTGCTGACCCTAGCAAAAGATTATTATCACTTTAGAAGTTGTCACGTTATCAAATTAAGTAATTTTTTACAAGACCTTTTAGGACCAACAAGATAGTAAGGGTATCTGCCACCAAGCAAAACAACCTGAGTTCCATCACCAGGATCCACATGGTAGAAGGAGAAAGACTTGAACAAACTGTCCTCTACCTCCACATGTGTGCCATACACGCATACATATACAAAACAAATAAATAAAAATGTAATTTTTTTTTAAAAAAAAAGACCTTTTATGAGAACTAGAGGGATGGCTCAGTGGTTAAGGGCACTGACTTCTCTTGCAGAGGACCAGGGTTTGGTTCCTAGTACCTACATGGTAGTTAACAACCATCTGTAATTCCAGTTCCAGAGGAGCTGGTATCTTCTTCTGACCTCTTTGGGCATGACATAGGTGCACTTACATACATGCAGGCAAAACACTCATACACATATATTTAAAAGAAAAATAAAAAAGTAACTTTTATGGCACAATCACTCTGGAAATCAATATTCACCATATGACCCTACAACCAAAGAAAAATGAAAGCCCAGATCCACCTGGAACCCTCCAGATGGCCACAGCACCATTATTTATAACAGTCTAAAAGTGGGAACTGCCTCAATGCTCATCAGTCAGTGGGTATAGAGATGGACTGAAGGGTGTCCATGCAAAGGAGTGTGATTGTGACATAACCACATCAAGGAGTATTGTTAGCAACGGAATGAAGCAGATACATGCTATATGGGTAAAACTTGGAAACCTATACAAGTGAAAAAGCCATTCGCAAAGGACCATACGATTTATGACCGCATTTACATGAACACCCAGAGCAAACAAACCTGTAGAGAGAGAAAGAGAAATGATTACAGAGGCTAGAGGTCAGAGCAGGAGCAATGGTTAATACCGACTGTCATCTTGACTGGATCTAGAATCACCTAGGAAACAAGTCTGCATGTCTATGAGGAAGTTTCTAGACTGGGTTACTTGAAAAGACTGGGGTTTGGGGCTGAATAAAAGGGGGAGAGTAAGATGAGTTCCAGAGCTCCTCTCTGTTTCCTGCCTGGGGACCCAATGTGACCAGCTGCCTCATGGTCCTGCCACCATGCCTGCCCTCACATTGAGGGCCAAAATAAGGGATAAGGCAAGGCTTGGGTGGAGAGAATATGGGAGTGACTGCCAACGACACCAACTTTTCCAGGTTGATGACTCCTCCTAACACTTGATTATGGCAAGAAGACATAATTCTATGAAAATGTTAAAAATCATTAGATTATACATATATGCTGTGTGTATATGTGTATGTGTACAATACATTTACCTAATTCCCTACTGAAGCTGTTCCCTTTTTTGTTGTTTTTTTGGAAACAGGGTCTCACAAAGCTAAGGGTGGGCTACATAAGCAAGGAGACTTTGAACTCCTGAACCTTTTGTCTTGAACTCCTCCAAATGCTGGGATTACATGTATGTACCACTGCACTCAGCACAAACTATTTCCATTTACTTTTTTAAGTTATCTGTGCCTACAGAGGACAGAGCACATTGCTTTCCCTGGAACTGGAGTTACAGGCAGTTATTAGTCCCCTGATGTGGGTGGTAGGAACTGAATCGGGTCCTTTGCAAAAGCAGTAAATGTTAACTGCTGAGCCATCCCTCCAGTCCAATTCCATTTCTAAAATATTACTGAAAACAAATACTACACTGAACACTCAGGATACGTCTTTAGAAACCTATGTGGGATTTTTTTTTTAAAGACATTATATTGCACCAAATCTTAAGACAAAGGACACTGGACATTAAGAAAGAGGTCCACCCCTGTCTCTGGGATCCAGGGCAGTTACCTTTCTTCTTGTGTGTATGCTGCTATACGTGGGTATTTTTTAGTCTAGTAACTTTGCATGCTTCTGGAGTGTGGTGTGATGCCTGGAATAGGTATACAATGTATAATGATCATGCCAGGGTAATCAGTCTTTCTTTACATTGGCAACCTTCAAGCTCCTCTCTTCTGGTTATTTTGAGCTATAAATTGTTGGGAATGGTGGTCAGCCTACTTTGCTCACAACATTAGAACTTGTTCCTGTTGACTATTTGGACATCTAGGAACTAGCTTCTCTCTATCCCCTCCACCCTTCTCTACTTCCAAGAGTCAATGTTCTTAGATCCACATGTAAGTGGCAACATGGGTTATCTGTTTCTCTGTGTCTGGCTCAGTTCAATGTATTCATCTCCAGTGCCAGCCAGGCCATCTCAATAAACAAGATTTCATTCATTTTTATGGCTGCACAGTATAAAATTACCCATAAAAATGTGCATTTTGAATCAACATGTGAATTTTATAGAATATAAATTTTCTTAATAGTTTTTTCACATCCAAATGTATATAAAAAGAATGTTCATTTGCTTTAAAGCACATACGCAATTCTGTTACACGATATAAAACTACTTTGAGTCTTTTTTCTACTCTAGCGCCCCTCAGCTGTGAGACTCTGAGGATAAGGATGGAGCAGGGTGGGATGGGGTAGGCATGATGCAGCTGGAAAGACCCCAATACATATTAAAAGAGCTGAACTTATACACAAGGATCAGCAAGCAACCTGGGTGGCTAAAATCAATACTGATTCTAATACTGTACGTGCAGTTAAAGTGCAGCTGACCATAAAAGACTATGGCTGGGACACTGGTTTCTGGGGTGAGGGAAAAAGGTCTCTCCTTGTGACAAGAGAGCAGCAGGAGCTAAGACCCTAACAGGAAAGAACTGGAGCTGAGCTGGTGTGTTGCAAATTTCATCTATCACTGAATTTTAGATCTACATGTTACAGGACTCTACCTAAGACAGGCAGGGAAACAAAATTCCACAAGATCAGTAGAGATCTTGAAAAGGATTTGTAAGTGGATTTGAACTCTACTTTCCATCAGCACCCTTTTAAAGTAAAATGAGGCCCATTAGGTATTTCAATACGAGCAGGGCACATACAGGGGACAGTTTAGTACCCTGGGACCCTATCTGATTTTGGTTACACACACTATGCCCCTTAGCAATGCACTTGGCGGCAGCCTGGTTCCTTCACTTGCACACACCATGCATATACACCCCTCTCCAAACAATGCACCTGGCAACCTCAGAACGCCCTTGACCCCCGCCTACATCAGGTTATATGCACTCCCATCTCTGAACAATAAAGAAAGTTTCCCTGCCCGTGGTCACAATCAAATTCAGACAGTTTCTAGAAGAGCCTATCCAACCTGAACAGTTTGAGGTGCATATACACTATGGTAAAACCTGCTGGGTGTGGTGGTGCATGCCTTTAATCCCAGCACCTGAGAGGCAGAAACAGGTAAACAGGTGGCTGGATCACTGTGTCTGTGAGTTCAAGGCCAGCCTGGTCTACATAGTGAGTTCCAGGCCAGCTGGTGCTACAGAGAGACCCTGTCTCGAAAAGACCAAAAAAGAAAAACAAACCAATAAGGTAAATATGTGTCCTCTAGTAAACTTTTAAGGAAAATCCCCTATTTATACCTATCTTATACCTATGCATAACTGGACATATGTATATTTAAATCAGATGCATTATGGGAAGGGACATGATAGTAGGAAAAATTAATATATGAACTAATCTATCATTGAAAATAGAGAACCACCCAAACTATTAGTTTAGTAACCAGCCCCTCCTTTAGACTCCATGAAGAAACCCCAGTCTATAGCTTGAGACCCCGAGCTCTCTCACTCATGTGGCCCACTGTCAACCTTGACAAATATATCCCTCTATAATCTGTACTACTACTTAGCTCTAAATAAAGTTATCTTGCTTCTTTTATGAATCTGTGTGAAGCCTTATTTTCAATTCTTTAGATAAGAGGCCAAGAACTTGAAAATACCCAGTCCAGGCCCCAACCACTAGTAATACATGTATCAGTCTACTGCATCAGCATGGACCACAGGGAAAATCCCCATCTACACTAACAAAGGGAAGCTGACAGGAACATCAGGTACAGGTACATTTCTGCTGGTATCCACGACTCCCTGGAAAAATGGTGACAATCAAACTGGACTTAGTGATTCACACTTCTTTACTAAGACAGGGACCAGAGAAATGGTTCAACTGGTGAAGTACTTGCCACACAAGCCTGACCTGAGTTCAACTGCTAGAACCTACAGAAAAGTAGAAAAAGAGAACCAACTGACTCTGCAAAGTTGTTCTCTGATTTCCACACATACACCACGGCGTGTGCATACCTCCACACACATATCACCGTGGAACTAGGCAGAGGAGGGCCCAGAATCTCTCTGTGTCATTTATTCCAAATGCTGGCAAGTCTACAATTATGCCAAAATACAATTTTTCATTAAAAGAAACACTCAAATGTAGTGTAACTGGTTAATTGCTTGTGTTTAGTTGTGAATATCAAGAATTCTTAATGAGAATGCCCTGATTCAAAAAAATCAAGTATCCAATAAACTCAGACTTGAGAATTTATAAGCAGCCAGAGAAATGCTACAGAAATCCACAAAAATGGCATAGCCTGACAGTCACTTCAGCATGTAACAATTATTTTCAGTCTATTTGGCTTACGTTGAGGGAGAAATTACAAGGAATCACACTCTCCAAGCTCACGTGAACTTTCCACAAGAGAACATAGCAACAAATGATAGCACCTTGGCCAAGAGCAATGAGAGAGAGAGAGAGAGAGAGAGAGAGAGAGAGAGAGAGAGAGAGAGAGAGAGAAGCCTGTGGACACAACTGCATCAGGGAGGGAGAGGGAAGAACCATGCACATGCTAGCTAATTTACTAGATTATCATCAGGTGCCTACAATCAATCTAAGTTGCTACTCATATATACTAGTTTCATTTGAAATCTTCTTACCAGTTCATAATTTCCCTCTTGATAATTAATTACTTTAATCAGAAAACAAAGTATATACTTAGAGAAAAAAAAGAATAAATTCATAAAGCCTTCTGAAAGGGTCCTAGAATTCCTCTCTGAAGGACACTCACCTGAGAGGTGATGTTCAGTGTAACTGTGTCCAGGCCTCCAGACAGCATTCCCTGAGTATCAGCCAGGGTCAGTGTGACACTGGCGTCTCCACCCACACCTGACGAAGACATGACCAGGTTCTGAGTTGAGATGGCTGATGGCGACATTGGTGTTGTTGAAGGAAGGTTTCCATTCGTAGGATTAAGTTCTTAAAAAGAGGCAGAACAAGTAATCAGTGGGAAGCAGAGGAAGCACTCTCCTAGGGCCTGGCAAGAGCAGTTTTCACAAGGGAGCTAATCCAGAGCCTTTAGCACCAGTATCTGGCTGGCACCACAGCAAGGAAAGCCTTGAATTCCATCATCTGACAGAGGCTTTCCTGGGTTTCTAAATGCGTACAGATGAGCACACTCTGCTTCTTCAGCATGGTCCTGCAGGTGTGTCCAACCCTAACACTGGATCTACCAAGTTCACGCTCAAGAACCATGCAATTGAGTTACCAAAACAAAACAAAAAACTCCTGTTTTAAGTAAATTCATGGTTTTGTGTTAGGCTACCTTCATGGCTACCCTATGGCACATGCAGCCTGCACACTGCAGCTGGACATGCCTGTTAAAAAAAAACAGGAAGAGTGAAAATATGCCTTCGGTTCCAGTCACTGCTAACACTGCAGAAAGAAAACTCAGCAAGGGTTACAAGGACCACAGACAACAGAAGAAATGATGGAACTCAAGGAACAACTAATTTCAAAGTTTAGTGGACAAATTTCACTGAGCTATTTCCCCACTTTCATCACCTTAAATGTCTACTTATTGTGAAGCAGAAACAATCAAAAGAAACCTGATGAAATCCCTTTAGTACTAACATCTCCAATATGACATTTTAATTTTCTATTGATAATACAAAACTTACAAATATTTTCCTTGGCAGCCAAATGGTAAGAGAGAGAAGATAATTCAGGGTAGGATCAGCAAAGACAGACAGGCCTTTTCTTCTAGAAACACATTCCTGCGCCTTCCTGGCAAGTGAGATGGATTCAGAACAGGATTATCCATGTCCTTCGAGGGCACCCACATGAGCACACATGCACAGCCAATTCTCTCTCACATCCCTGTGCCCTTCACCTGCGTGCTCATCATTCTGGGTCAGCCCTGTGCTAGGCACTGGGACCCCAAAGTGATAATAAAGCCGAGTTCAAAAAACTATGCCCTGCTAAAGTGTAAAAACAAAACAGACTACTGCCAACACCTTCTGTACCTGTGCCAAACCAATCCAGAGCCTCTCCTAGGAGTCGGGGGCCAACAGGGAAGCCAGGCTACTTACTTGTAAGTGGAGGTCTCCAAAATCAAGGCCTCCATAGATCCACACTCGTGGAGTCCCATCATGTGCTACACAGACCTGAAACCTTTAAAAGCAGTATAACCATTAGGAGGCTAAGATTACGTGCACACAAGCAGTCACTGGGGCTCCCTCCTACCTGCTCACATCTTGTACAGGGCTAACGCCTCAGACCTCAGACGTGCAGAAAGGAGGAGTATGGGTTGGTGGAGGGAGTCTCATGCAACAGCGCTGCAGTTAGACACGCCCACCTGCTTTCCTCATGCTACCTCCAACACATGCCTGTCCTTGCACTAATACCCAGGCATGCTAGCTGCATGACTGGACAGAAATGCCTAGAAATGTCCTGTAGGACACTGTGAGGGAGAGTATAACAGTATAACTGTGCCCAAGAGGCCAAGGCAGTTGGACAGACACCTGTCTTTGAGAGTCCCACTGGGAATCATTCTTAAAACAAAGCAAAGTGGTACTACTCCTAACTATTAGAAAGGCCAGAAGCCAACTTCTTCCTGTCTGCTGAGGTAAAAGAACCAAGGGTTTCTCTCCGCCACCAGTAAAATGCATCTCACTTCCTAGTGGAGATCACACATCAAAAGGTTCCAACACAGCACAAGAAATCTAAAGAAAAAAGTAGAACTTCAGATAACAACATCACAGTTCATATTCAACACAAATGGAGAATGTTTAATAGTAGTCACAATCCAATGGGTTTTACCAGAGCAGGATACTGACCAAGCAGAGCTATCCTTAGTACAGCTGAGCTAGAGCAGGAAAGCAGAGATTTTCTTTAAGCAATAAAGTGATTACAAGCTATAAACAGCTATTAGTTAATATTTGTTAAAAACTCAAGACACAATTTTCAATTCTAATCAAATACTCTTTACTCTTAAGAAAATTAAGTACACACCAGGCATGGTGGCACATGCCCTTTGTCCCAGCACTCAGGAGGCAGAGGCAGGCAGGTGAGTTCGAGGCCAGCCTGGTCTACATAGTGAGTTCTAGGCCAACTGGGACTAAGGGAAAAAACGACCCCCCCCAAAAAAAGTACACTTTTTTTTTCTGAAAAAAGTATACTTTTTTTTTTTCTGAAACCACTATTCCTCTAGGACACAACTCCACAAAGTCTTATTTTACTTTGTGATTCTGATTCAAAAAAGGTAATCTTTAAGGAGTGTTTAAGTGAGGTGTGGTGGTACAGGCCTATAATGCCAGCATGAAGGAGATGGAGGATGGAGGATTAGGAGTCAA